GAGAGAGAGAGAGGAGAGAGAGAGAGAGAGAGAGAGATCATTCTTTTGGGACAGGATTGAGAGTTGCAATTTTCAGAGAAAGAGAAGTGTGGCTTGGGATCCGGATGGACCTGGATTAAATCCCAATTCCTCCCCTTACCAGCTCTGTGTGACCTGGTTTAGATTATTATTGGATTGATTACCATTCTCAGCCCCAGTCTTCTCGTCAGTAAAATGCGAATAATCCTTCCTAGGTAGTTACAAAGATTAAAATGAGAATGCCTGTAAAGCGGTGAGTCTGGCGCCTGCCACATAGAATCAGAACTCCACCCCATCCCTGGTTATGACCCTAAACAAGTGACTCAACCTGTCTGGATCTGCTCCTTCACCTATAAAATGGGAAGACATATCAGCTACCTCATGTGCTCGTGTGGTCATGGTGAGGACTGGATCCTGCGATGTGTGCCAGGGTGCCAGGACTTCGTACATAACAGACATTCAGTGTGGTCACTGCTCCTCTTATTCTTGTTATTAGTCACATTTTTTCCTTTCTTCTAGTTCCCTTTTGGCCGACGCTTGCCCTGTGACATCTACTGGCATGGAGTTTCATTTCACGACAATGACATATTCTCCGGCCAAGTGAACAAGTTTCCAGGTATCCATTGTTATTGTTGGCATTTAAAAACGTTTCCAGGGCTTGAGTCTCAGGTTACACGCATCTACAAAAACATGACAGTGTTTTACGATTAGACTCGAGCGCTCTTAATTGGGAATTGCTGCCTACACTCTGCCGCGGTGCCATTTCCTTGGGAGGGGCGTTAACGTGGAGGAATCATGACTTAACCCGCCAAGGATTTAATGATCAGAGGCTCAAAACCGTAAAGAGACAGGCTCTCCTGGGCTAATTCCACTGGCGGAAGAAAATAATTTTCACCTTTTGAGTTATAAATATAAAATGGAGGTGTCATGAGGGGATTGTAGTCTCAAAATGAAAAAAAAATAGACCATGTCACTTCCATAATTTGCAGGAAACAGAAATACCAAAGTTCCAGGGCGATGTCACAGACATGGGGTTAACAGTTTTCATTTTCTTGAAGTATCACCTTTGGAGGCACCATTTTTAAAACCCAGTGCAGCCATCTCCGTGCTGGGAACACCAGGCTGCAGACAGCCTTGCCTCTTACCTCAGGGCATTGTCCCAGCGGGACTTAACTGCAAGGGGACTCAGTGCCAGAAAAGCGTCACGGCCAGCACTTTAAGATACCCCCTCGCACTCCACTCCCAGCCTCCCCATATGCCTGTCCACTTTGTTTTTAATCTCCACCACCCTCTTCTGCTGTGATCACTATTCATTATTGTTAATGGCTAAGTGAAGAGGGTGGTTAGGGTGAGTGCTTAAGGGAAAGGGTTAAGATGGGTCTGAGCACAGCCGAAGGGTCTTCCACTGATTTTCAGAAATTTTCACCTACTGCTCACACCATATTATAATACAATAATAAATACTTTTTAAAAAAGAACATCACCCTGAATCCCATCCCTCATTTAACAAAACCACGATGTGAATATTTCCATATTTCCTCCCAAACCTTAACCACGTTTATGGATCATTTTTACATAGTTGCTGTGAGAGTATGGTTGCCTGAACATAAGGTGTTTTCTCTTAGCATTAGATCATTGATGCTTATTTGAAACAGGTGAATCAACTTACACTTTTTCTTTGGTATTCCATGCCAGGTCTTTAAGAAAACATCTCAGAAAACCCAGTATCCATATTTTATACACTGGCGAGTTGTGCCACACCCACTAGGGGGTTTTCATCTGAGCATGCACGCTGCCACAGGCCACACTTGGCTCAGCTTCACTTAGAAGGATATAGGGCAGGAAACGCGGCTTGCCAGTCAGTCAATGTCAGACATCTTTCTATGGTGGCATCTTTGCAAGAGTTCCAGGGGCTAGTCTCTGGCCCCCCAAGTGAAAGCTCAGGTGTAAGGAGACAAGACCCACCTGGCTAGATGTGGGTCTGTCTTGGCTCACACACCTTATAGGAGCCAATATCTTGTGTAGTGGCGGCTTCATTGCATAGCTGCCAGGGTCCCCGCCGGGGTCATGCTAAGTGACAAGCATCACTACAGTCATGAAAGCCTGGAGCTGTGGCTTCCTATCAGGTATTTATGGAATTTGCCAACCAGTTGCCAACCAGGCGTCCTTTTAACCATATGCTTTTTTGTCTAGCAACATTGCTAACTTTCCACCTTTATTGATTTACAGGGGAACGGAGCTAGAAAATTAACCCAAGGTCAGGTTTATCCCTAGAGAAGGAGACAGGGTTTTGTTAGCGAACAAGAACAATTTCTGCAAACAGGTTCTTGCACACAGTTTAATGGGATAGCTATTATTTTCTCTGTCTGGCTGCTCAGAAAAGGTGACTTTTTGATGACACTGGCGGGCTTTCTGGGCTATCCAGAGAACCTAATTTGAAAGAGAACAGCTCTTTGAATGCGGAAAGCTTCCTAAGACACCAATCATCAAAGGAGGCCTCATTTACATTTTCCCAGTTTGCTCAGGCCTCAGCTAATGGCTGAGAGAAGGCAGGAAGTAGCCATGGCGCTACATTTGGACCACTGATTAGAAATACAGAGAAAAATACCCCCAAAGGGCTAGTTTCGTTAAAGGTGATCTGAGAATATTCATCTCTAAGAAGCACGTTCGTCCTGTCCCATGTTCCACACGCTAGTGATTAGAACATGTAATTTTCCACTTTACTAACAGCAGTTAATTAGCTCTAATGACAAAGCAGCTCCCGCACCTCTAGGCAGAGGAACATACGCTCTGCTCCGCGAAAGGCAGCGATCATTAGCAACAGGCTGATGGCAGAACAGCCTGTCCTTCAGCTCCTGTTTGTGTCCAAGCTCATCTTCTGTTTCTTTTATATCCCATGATTTTGAAAATGCATTTTGTGTGCACTGGATGTTACTTAGAGTAAGGTCTAGTGGCCGTGTCAGGCGAGTATGAACTTCCCATGCTGAAGAAACTGAAAACTTTTGGATATGCATATGAAAAGAATTTCTTTTGTATGTGTCAGCACGTTAGCTTTTAGTTGCTTTTTTTATGGGCAATTTCCTTAAAGATGTGTTATTATATCTTAACTGATGAATTCAGACTTTCGATAAAAGTAGTCTGATTTAGATGTGTGTCTGCTTTAAGAAAGGGCAAACCTGTCAGTTCTTAGCTTCCAAACAACTTGTGGTGAGTTTTAAGATCTGAGATGTTGGCAGCACATGGCAGGTGGTGCCTGAGAGCCACCATGAGGAGGGGACTTCCTGGTGAGAGGGAGAGGGTTCCCTCCAGTGAAGAGCCTACAGGGCAGCCATGCCTCAAGCACTGGTATGGGCTGGGGATGCACAGACAAGGAGAAGGGCATGTAGAGAGGGAAGGCAAGTACAAAATAAGTGCTGTGCCTGAGGAAGGTTCGGTGCTGTGAGAGTCTGGAATGAGGGCAGCTGACCTAACCCAGATTTGCTCAGGGGACAGGCAGGGTGACAGATCCTGGAGGAGAGGATTGACATGTGAACTGAACCTCCAGGACTGGATGGGCCTGACCCTCACGCAAAACAAGGGAGCAAAGTTGGTGCAAAGATGTAGCGTGCTTAGAACATTCTGCTCACTCAGTGAAGGGCAAGTGGCCCACGATGGTTAGCAAGGGTCAAGTGTGACGGGGCAGTGGAGAGGTGATGGACTTGGACCAAAGGTCATGGGAAGCCACTAAGGAATTTTTAAGCCAGAGAGCGACATGGGCCAGCTTGGGTTTTAGAAAGTTCAGCCAGAGGGTTGCACTGGAGATGGGTGGGAAGGCTGAGAGAGGAAGTGGAGAGAGAGCTAAGAGGCTACCGCAGCATCCAGGCAAAAGATGGCCGCATCAGTGGTGATGGGGACAGAGAGAAGAGGGTGGATCTGAAAGCATTTGTTCTTTGATGGTTGTAATGTGGTTTTGCCAATAATTATTGTTATAAATGATATTTGGATTGAATAATGCTCCCATCATGGCTCAGATTTTATTTTATTATTATTTTTAAACTGAGCAAGCCTGAGGATCAAGCTGTTACTCTCCTGGTAACATCACACCGGATGAGACCCACCAGGCCTTGAGCCTCTGGTGTAGCAGACAGAAGAACCCAGATTCAGCAGGAGTGGCAGAAGGCAAGCTCTTGGTGTGAGAAGCTCTAAGCTGATTTAGGGGGTTTTCCCAGTCCACAGGGGAACTACCCCAAAATGGACATCTAGGGGTCAATCTTGTTGAGAAACCCAGGTAGGCATGGGCCTCAAAAGAACCTGTTAGGAGGCACTGAAGTCACAGGCAGGAGGACCCCAGCCCTTGCAGGGTAGACGTGAGGGGAACAGGAGGAGGAGTCAGAGAGAATGAGGCAGAGGCATTGCTAAAGCAGCCACCCAGGCACCAGGAGCAAGACAGGCTACCAAAATTTGGGGACAAAGCAATGGAGCCTCAGAAAAACAGTTAAAAATCCCCCTTATCTAATTGGAGTACAGTTAGGGTCAAAGCTTTCCTTGTTCCCAAGCTTCGGGGTTGCTGATGGTCAAATCTAGAGTTTCCACCTCAGGTCAGAATGGGTCCCAGAGCCTGGGCAGGGGTCATAGGTAGGGCCAGGTCTGCAGCAGCTTAGAGAAGAGAGGCAGAGCCTGGAACCAGCAGAGCCTGGCAATCACCCCCGTTTTCACATGTTTACCCTGGGAACATGTACTCTGGCTCAGCTGGAAGCCCAACTACTCTTGTCAGCATCATACTGAGGGAACATGGCGCTCCCCACATGTGTCTGAGCAACTACCAGACCCAGGGATGCCAGCAGCCTCCCCACGCGGAGTCGAATCGGGTGGGACGTGTTCTCTCTGGCAGCAATGGGTGGAAACACAGCCTCGATATGGTGTAGGAATAAGAGTTTCGGGGGTAAGTGGGTTGAGGGAGGGCTGCACTGGTGCCTTCTGGAGACAGGCACGGTTAGGGGGAAACTGTCTGCAGCCTCAGGCAGGAAGTGTGCAGGGAAAGTAGCCATTGGCTTGTAGGGGTGCTTCTGAAGCTGGCTGTTTTTAGTGGAGAACTACCTGGAGACAGACACAAAAGTAAACTTAGAAAGAGATCTGTTGGCTAGTGTGGGGACTGCCGATCCACCTCACAAAACGAGCCATTGCAGATTCAAAATGAATATTTACGGGCTGGCCGAGTGGCTCAGTTGGTTAAGAGCTCGCTCAAGAGTTTGAGCTCTGAGCAACAGCGGTTCGAGTCCAGCCCGAGCTGAGCAGCCGCTNTTGGTTAAGAGCTCGCTCAAGAGTTTGAGCTCTGAGCAACAGCGGTTCGAGTCCAGCCCGAGCTGAGCAGCCGCTGAACTGCCAACAGGTAGCAGGATGGCTCAGAAAAAAAAAAAAAAAAAAAAAAAAACCCAAAATGAATATTTACTCCATTTGCTGGGCATTGATTTTCACAAAACTTTTCTGGAGCATCTAAATTGCACTTCTGTCTGTGCTGTGCGAGTCCTGCTGACCAGCTGAGGGATTTCTGACCCTTCCCCTGTCACAGTGCCACTCACACACAGAGCGTACCACAGCACTGTTTGGTCAGGAGGCATCACCTATTTGATGTGAAGTGATGTGTTACAGTCAGTGATGAAGGTTTTTAGTTTCATACTATAACTGAAACATTAGTCAAATACCAAGGAAAAGGCTCCAAAAAAGTTGAAACCTTGTTTTTGTGTACTTTGTGTTCAGTTGCAGTGTTTATAACTCAAAATTTCTAATTTCATAGGGGAATAAAATGGAAGAGCTCTAATTTTCCAAATTATTTATTGGGAAGCTCAGAACAGTGCCCTCAGTGAGTTTTTTGTTTTTTGTTGTTTTTTTTAATATTGAAGAGTCCACGTCAGAGCACGATTTATAAGTGCTTTTTAAGCTCTTTTATTTCTTACTTAATCCTTCTCTATAGCCTTCTAAACAAGAATGAAGAACCTGGGCACTGACATAGTGAAGCTGCGATCTTTAGATTTATTGCTGATTTTAAGATGCTGAGGGAAGCACGAAGCAGGTTATTAAAACCCTCATTCTCAAATGTTTACCCTTTGCTTCCTGGACACGGGAGTTGAGAAAAGCCTCATTCATTCTGATTGTGCCCATTTGGAATGTGTGACAATTCGGCCATGCCAAGCTGACATGGAACTTTGTACTTTCTATTAAAAATAACTTTGCCAAGCAAATTGCTAGTGTCAGTGATGGAGCTGTGTAGCCTCTTTCAGGATGAAGGTCGATTTTAGTCTCCATTTTTAACGGTTATATTTACCTCAAGAAATAAGCATGCTAAACTGTAAAATAATTTTTAGCTATTTGCGTAAAATTTGCTAGGCTATATACTCAGATTCTTCTCTTGTCAGAGTTACTAAAGATGTGACAAGAAGAAAAACGTCCACTGTTCTTTGAAAATGTTTTATAAGTGAGACATTTCAATCCCCTCTGGGCAAATTAATGGAACCTGGTCCATATCAGTGTCAGTGCTTAGAACTGAAGAGCTCCTACGGATTCCATTTTTTCCCCTTAAACTATGAATTATGCTGATATCCTTTCCACTCCCTGTTCTTATTTCAAGGAGACAGATTTTATGCTAAAAGGTGTATATTATATTTTTCTATTTTATACCTTTTGTTAATACTCATGAACGATTAAAACAAAGCAACTTAAACTTCTCATAATGTCAGCAACGTCCACTACATAATATTCTCTGGGGTTTAAGATGGAAGGAACCCCAGAAGTATGTATGGAGGCCCCAAATTAAAGAGGATAATAAGTTTTAATTGCAAGATATAAATGCTTCTCTTATACATTATCAAGGGAGCTGACAAAGCATGGAATAATAAGTTAGGCAGGAACTCATTCCTTCAAACTGATGCTTCATTTTTAATAAGGAAACAAAATCCACCTATTACCTCAAGTTTTTCATTAATTTGGTAGGTCTTTCCAAACCATGAGTCACCGCTGTGGGGAACAACTCATACCTTTTTTTATCTTGTCTGAAAAAGTCAATATGTCGGGTGGGTGGTTTTAAAAGCCCCAAATAATGGCTGTTTTATAGCTAGTGGCTCACTGTTGTTAAAACCTCACAGCTTCTCTTCTCCCCAGGCATGACGGAGATGGTGCGTAAAATTACCCTGAGTAGAGCAGTGAGAATCATGCAGAATCTCTTTCCTGACGAATACAACTTCTACCCTCGCTCATGGATTCTGCCTGACGAGTTCCAGCTCTTTGTTGCTCAGGTAGATGATGGCACTCTGCCCTTATGACCCTTGAATTATGTTATGGTTGCACCTGTGTCCTGGGTCCCATGCTGGGAGCTGAGACTGGCCAAGGGGGTGTTTAACAGTCCATGGTATGTGTTGGCTGCGGTCACAGCAGCTTGCAGACCTGAGCAGGGAGGGTGACAGGTAAGTAAACTGAAGAAGTGGGTCTTGACATGAGGAGAAAGGCTGAGATTGGGAGCTGGATCATGGGGTTGGCATTTGCAGCATCAGGGAGACAGAGCTGGAGCAGGTGGTTGAGCCCACACGAGGACTGGGACTGTTGGGGTGAATCCTAGAGGTATGGTCTCCCCAGCACCCCATGGCACTAAATGTGGGAGATCGGGCTCCGCTTCAAGGCCAGGGAGTATAGGTCTGACAAACGGGGTGGGGGGTGGGGAATCTTTTAAGTGTCCTCCTTTACATGTGTTCCAGAATCCATTTTCAAATCACCCATTCCATATCAAAGTGATGTGTTTGAGCATGAAATACGTTGGAACCTTCACCACTGTGAAACGGAGCCAGTAGGGAAGCTGAGTTCAGAACTGCCATTTTGGTTAGTTTTTTCCTGATTTCATTTAGGGCCATATCAAAGCCTTTGTTCATAGGTTCCGTGGTCCATGTCATACCTCTGAGGGTATCAGTACAACAAATGCCTGTCCATTTGTGACAAGGCTGATACCATTTTTTGGCCCCACTAGACTCCTCCAGACATTGTGTTAGGAGCTTAACATTATTTCTTTTGATCCTCACAGTGAAGTTGGTTGTATTATTATCCCCATTTTATGGATGAGGGAACTGAGGCTTTGAGAAATTAAGTGACTTGCTTGAGAAGTAGGATTTAGTCCTAGAGCTGATTTCAAGGCCTACGCTTTTTATACTGTTTTATTGCCTGCCATTGTTTTGGTTTTAATATTAAATTATAAAAACTTGTGATAAAATTATGATTTACAAAGCACAAAAAAAGCTTGAAGTGATCATTTTTAAAAGGAAGCTCTGTATGGGATGGTATTCACATGGGTCTATACATTTTTAAAAATTCATCAAATCATAACTTTAAAATGAGTGCATCTTATTGTATGCAAATTACGCTTCAGTAAAGTTAATTTTTAAAAACAAACTGTCAGCGTTTCCCCATACTGACTGCCCCAATGTTCCACTTTTGTGGCTGTGCTCGTGCTGTTTTCCCTATGTGGAATACCTCCCTTTCTGTTTCTGCAGCTCGATATCTAACAATTCTGCCACGCTGAATGTAAGCAGATACCAGCTTGTGCTTTCAAAACCAGATAAGTGAGAAGAGCATGTCCATCATCCCCAAAAGTTCCTTTGTGTCTCTTTGCAGTCAAGTCTCTCATCCACCCTCACCCTCCCCACCACAGCCCAGGCACCTCCTGATCTACATTTTCATCAGAGATTAGTTTTGCCTGTTCAAGAAATTCATATAAATGGAATCCTACAATACAGTATGTACTTTTTTTGAGGCTTTTTTTCTTTCAGAGTTATATTTTTGAGATTCTTCCGTGTTTGTATTTATTAGTAGTTGGTAATTTTATTAGTGAGAGATGTGTTCCGTTGTATGAATATACCACAAATTGTTTATCCATTCACCAATTGATGGGCATTTGGGTATTTCCACTTTGGGGACATTATAAATAAAGCTTCCATGACTAATCATGTGGATATACAAGGTCAGACAATTAAGTGCGCGAACTTGTTGCAATGATGTTGCTAACCTTTTTTGATATCAGAGGGATTATACATTTGTACCAACTGGGCAAACAGTTAACCAAGTTTGCTATTTGGAAGTGCTGAAAAGACTGTGTGAAAAAGATGAAAATGAAAAAGATGAAAACGACCTGAACTTTTCGCCAATTCATGACTCTTGCATCATGACAATGCATCAGCTCACAGGGCACTGTCTGTGAGGGAGTTTTTAGCCAGTAAACAAGTAACTGTATTGGAACACCCTCCCTACTCACCTGATCTGGCCCCCAATGACTTCTTTCTTTACCTGAAGAGAAAGGAAATATTGAAAGGAAGACATTTTGATGACATTCAGGACATCAAGATGACAGCTCTCATGGCCATTCCAGAATAAGAGTTCCCCAATGGCATTGAAGGATGGACTAGGCGCTGGAGTTGGTGCATAGCTTCCCGAGGGGAGTCCTTCAAAGGTGACCGTAGTGATACACAGCAATGAGGCGTGTAGCGCTTTTTCTAGGATGAGTTTGCGAACTTAGTTGCCTGACCTCGTACATTGTTATTATTTTTGCTTTGAGAAATCAATTATCTTATAAAGAAACTGAAAAATGAGTATATTTGTCTTCTGTACTCACCCATGTATTTACATTTCCAGCATTCTTCATTCCTTTGTGTAGCTCTGGGATTCCATCTGGTATTATTTTCCTTCAACGTAAAGAATTTACTTCAACATATTTCTTGTAATGCAGGTCTGCTGGTGGTAAATTCTCTCAGCTTTTGTTTGTTTGGAAATGCCTTCGTTTTGCCTTGAGTTTTAAAAATGTTTTGAAATAATTTTGGGCTTACAGAAAAGTTTCAGATATAATACAGAGTTTGTTCCCATATACCCTTCATCTAGCCTCCCCTGTTATTAACATCTTATACAAGTACTGAAACTGGGAAATTAACATTGGTATAATATTACTAAATATCTACAACCCTTCTCGGCATTTTTCTTTTCTTTTCTTTTCTTTTTTAAAGATTTTTATTGGGGAAGGGGAACAGACAAGTTGCTGTCCTTTTGTTCTTCAGTCTAGTTGTGGAGGACGTCGCTTCAACTGGCCCAAGTTGGCACCATCATTGCGCTCTTCCCAGGCGAGGCAGATCAGTCACCGGCTTCTGGACGGCCGCTCACTGCGGCTGCTGGCCGCTCACGCTGGCTGCTGGCTACACACGGTAGCCCATGGCAACTC